ACTTCTCTATGTGTTTTTACTCTGCTTCTGTCTGTTGCTGACAGGCCATGTATAGAGCTGAATTCATCATTCTGTTCATTTTTAAGTAGATTTGTTCATTTATTTGAAAGGCAAAGTGACGAGAGGAGAGGGAAAGACAGAGAGTGGTGTTTCATTTGTTGGTTCACCACTCAAATAACCACAGCAAAAGGTGCAGGACCAGGCCTGACCCGGGAGGCTGGAACTCCATCCGAGTCCCCTGTGTGGGTGGACCATCTCCTGCTGCTTTCCCAGGCACATTAGCAGGGAGCTGGGTTGGAAGTGGAGCAGCCAGGACTTGAGCCTGCCTTTCTTTGGGGTGTCAGCTTAATCTGGCTTAAACTGCTGTGCCACATGCTGGTCCCTGGATCTATCAGCTTATGGCTTCTGGATTAAATGTCACAATCAGTGTAACAGATTGTCTCCATGGCTTCTCTAGTAATTTTTAGGGTTCATTTTTAATGCTTGAATCTTTGACTCACTGGGAATTTACCCTGGTCAGGTGTGATGTGTGGATGCAGTTCTGATTTTGCCAGAGAGCTACCCAGTTATCACAACAATTTTTAAAAATGATTTGCCTTTGCCCATTGCTTTGAGTTTTGGCCCACATTTCCCTGTTGAGGGAAACCACGGGGTTGGCCTCACACTTCCATCCATAGACTTGGGCACTGGTGCCCTTTCCCCCACATTGTTTCCAAGCCTTGATATTATATCTGTTTAATTTTTTGCCAATCTGATAAGCCAGTTCTGGGGTTTAGCTGTTGTTCCTAATGGGAGGAGATAATTACCGGGAGGAGCACAGGAGGCAATTTGTCAGATGCCTAGAAGTGGAAGGGCTGTTGAATAGAGCTGATCTGCAGGAAGCCGACTTGGGGGCAGACAGTGTGCACCTGCCAGCTCAGGCTTTGGGTCCAAGGGTCTGTCCCTGAGCAGGAAGCTGGGCTGCCCTAGGGAAGTATGCTCAAGGCTGATCAAGAAAGGGAGGGGAGGGAGCTTATGTTGGGGAATCAGCATTCCCAAGGTCTGGGAAGCTGGAAGCCTGGCTGGAAGGAGTGTTGAGGGGACGCACGGCCCCAAGGTCTGGGCAGCTTCCCCCTCACTGTGCTCAGAGAGTGCCTGGAGCTGCTTGCCCAAAGTGTCTTTGCACCTCCCACCAGTCTGGTCCAATCCACCACAGCCTCCTACCTGGACCACTGCAGTGACTTCCTGCCCAGTGAGCTCCAGCTGCTCTCCTGCCTGGTGTCTGTCGGCCCATGTTTGTCCTCCCAAGGAGTCATCAGACTGAAATCCAGACTCCTGCCCTCACTCCCTCTCTCCCTCTCAGTCATATTCCTGACTTTTCCCGCCACAGGCCCTTTGCACTTGCTGCCCATGGACACGTGTACTCTGTCCCTCCCGGCATGTTCTGGGTAGCAGGTACACCCCTTCTCTTTGCCTCCCATTGCCGTGATAAGCACGGCTGCGGATGTCTAGTGACTTTAATCACCATGTTCTAATTAGGGATTACAAGCTTCCCAGTGCGGTATCCCTGGTGGTTAGTAGAATGCCTAGCATAGATCTGGGGTGCCCTAACTACCTTCTGGCTGACGAATGAGGGAGGTTGAGCCCTAAAGTGCTGAGGCTGATTCTGAGCATCATCAATGAATGACAGTGCGTGTCCCTCCCTGCTGGCAGTGCCGTCCACCCTCATCCCGTCAACCCCCATCTTCTTTTTCTTGACAGCCCCACCCCAGCAGCCATGTGCTCAGAAGAACGCTTCCATCTCTCCTGGCCCACCCCATCACTGTATTCTCCTGCTAGAGTAGCACCTGCTCACGGGAGAGGCAGGAAAATGGGGCTGGGGGTGACAGGGTGGCTAAATGCGAGAGACGCTGTGACAGTCTTCTGTGAATACCAGGAAGCTCTTTTCCTTTCTTCCACCTCCTTCCCTTTGAATACACAGCTGCACTCCCCCTAATTTGCTTTGATCGCTCCCCGAGGAGCTGTCACAGAATCAATTAGGTCTGTAGAATTTTAACGGCTCGAGGTCAGCCAGGATGATTCCTCATTTTACAGATGAGAAAACTGAGGCTCGGAGAGGTTAATGCTGGAAACAATTACCTGCGATGGGTCTTGTAATACTCATCAGTGTCATTTGCGGAGATGAATGTTCTCTGTGTGGCAGCTCGGCGAGTGGAAATGCTTGTCGTATGTATTTCCTGGGCAGACGATTGCTCACAGGATGAGTTTCCTGTCCGGGAGTGGCGGCTGACAGACTCGCGTTTAGTCGTGGGTGGTTCTGCCTCTGAGCTTCACCACCCATCCTCAGCCCAGAGGCCTTATGTTTGTGTCCAGTCTCAGCTGGAACGCTGGTTCCAGGAGATCTGCTGTGTTTAAACAAGTGCAGAAAAGCCAGTCCCCCAGTCAGAAGTCACAGGGTCAGCTTGGAAAATATGGCTGTACACAGCTTCAGGAAGGGAGGGCGTGCTGCATTTCCAATGGGAAACACTGTTGGCCACTTCTTTGCTTTGCTTTCTGGTCCCTGCAAAACCCAGGCAGGCAGAACGGAGCCTGGGCACATGCATTTCAATAGAACATTGCCCTGTCTTGAAGAAGGAAGAAAGTGTAGTCCCTTTACATTTAGAGAATCAATAAGAAATTAAGCAACTTGCAGGAGAGGTGTGACAGCGGGAATTTATGTTCTCCACAAGCCACATAGAATTGAGATCTCATTTCCCTGGGGCTCCTGAGGTGGAGGCTTGGGAGCAGAGCCCCTGGTGCCCTGCGGAGCACAGTGTGCTGCACAAGGCCTGGGTGGAAGCTACGATGCAGGCAGAATGTCACAGGGGATTGCCCTGCTTCCAGGAAGTCTGTTCTTATAGCGGGACCCCAGTAATGCAAAAGCACAAAGTGGGGTGCCAGCTGGGTCTGGGGAGCGTACCCTGGCAGCCAGCTGTTTCCCAGAGTTGGAATCGCTCAGGCACAGAACACGAAGGGTGCGAGGTGGAAGGTGCAGTGGGGGAGTGCTCCTGGAAGTGGAAACAGACTAGTCTGTGGCCATCACAGCAGGTCAGGTAAAGCAGGGAGAGCCGTGAGGGACTGTGATGGTGATCCGGGATCAAGCGCTTTGTGGGCAGGAAGCAGGATGGCCCGTGTGCCTGCCGTTGAACTTGCCCAGAGATCATGCAGGAAGCTTTGACGTCAGGGTGAGGAGGGAACAGGCTCTCTGGAAATGCTGACAGGAGCAGCTGCCTGAAGGCCTAGCTAAATGACAGGTCAGGTGTGTCCTTGGGAGTGGCATGAAGGAGGTCCTCTCGCAGGTCTGCAGGTGGCAGGCCCGAGCTTCCCTTGCTCAGCGGTGCACCTTGCTCACACATGTCCTTGCTCCAGCTTAAAGGGCAGCCGCCTCTGTCCTCCTGCCTCCACTGTTGTAATGTGTTTTCCTTATACTCACAATTGGGTTCTAGTTCCTTTCGTGAAGAATCAGGTTCATCTGTGGAAGCTCTGTACTATGTATCATGAACAATGAATTCAGTGTTTGAACAAAGGGATATGATTTGGCTACCTTGAGCACAACTACACAGGAGTAAAGGTCTTCATCTATTATATTTTCTCGTCTCATTTGATTTGTGCATGTAGAACATACCCTTAGCTTTCATTCTTGGCAGCAGCCTCAGTGCTGGACACCAGGATCCTAAGAGCTCCAAAACATGGGTGGCTGTTTGCTTCACTCTCTGTGGGCTCACCCCATGAAGAGCCATAATGGCCTAGGCTGGGCTATGCCATAGTGTGCAACAAAGCACTCCATCTGGCTTTCCTGCTAGGGAGGCAGGGCCACAAGTACTCGGTCTGCCTTCTACTGCCTTCCCAGGTGCATCAGCAGGGAGCCACATTGGAAGTAGAGCAGCCAGGACTTGGACCAGTGCTACAGTGTGGGAGGCCAGCCTTTCGGGCAGTGGCTTTAACCTGCTATGCATGACATAGCTGCCTTGGCAGTTCTTCTTCACCTTTGTACAGAACTTTTCCATGTAGACTCTTCCCCTGCTTCCCACCCATTCCCATATGCTGATATTGGATGAGCTTCTGCAGGTTCTGGTAGCTTTCCATTGCCATTCCAAGTACTTCTGCTCTAGCTCTTTTCTGCTTACCACCACATGGCTTGGGGGCAGAGCAGGGAGGACAGATTGCAGACTGAGGGATCTCCTTTCATAGAAAACTTGAAGATAACAATATGGAGTTTTCCAAGTTGCTGGAACGACTGAGAAGTATTACTTCCAACTGTGTTCTTCGAGGACAACAGGGCTGCTAAAGGTGGTGGTGGTGGGGGATGCCCTTGTTACAGGGTGAATTCATTAACTACTCCCCTTCCCCAACTGATGCCCCCTGACATGCCCCTCTGAGGCATCTTTGCGTAAAATTTGCCAACAGTGGAGCCTAATGTTCTCCATTAAGGGTCTCTCTTAGCAGCTCTCTGACTAGCGTTTCGCAGGAGAGTGAGGTTTGAGACTAAAGTTGAAACTGGAAGTGTATTGAGAAATCTGGAAAAACTTTACACTCACATGCTTTTCAGAGATGCTTTTCAGAGTTTACCATCATAAAGCAAACGGATTTATAGGTGGGGCTTTCCAAGATGGTGATGTCACACCAGGGGGCCCTCGTCCATGCAGTGGCTGTTGAGAATAGAGGCTGGGCCTTCCATCACACCTGCTGACAGCTGTAGCTTGTCACCATGGCGGTCCTGAGCCTTGACCACAGCATGAGAGCTGGGGGTCAGGTTAAAGGGGTGCTCTAGTGTGAAGTCTTCGGTGATGGGATGAGCTGCAGAGAGGTGAAGGGGGCTTGTGAAATCAGCTTAGGGCTGGAGACACACATTTCTCAGGTCAAACACCTGGACTGCATTGAGGTGCGGTGGCTTCCAGCTGCAGGATTTTCAGCTGCTCTGCTTCTTGCTGTCTCCTCACTTCCCCCACTTTTTTTGTGTCTTTGTGGCCTGCGTGGTTCAGTGGGAAGAAGTCAGTGGCTACGATGAGAACCTGAACACCATCCGCACGTACCAGGTCTGCAACGTCTTCGAGCCCAACCAGAACAACTGGCTACTCACCACCTACATCAACCGTCGCGGCGCCCACCGCATTTACGCAGAGATGCGCTTCACCGTGAGGGACTGCAGTAGCCTCCCCAACGTCCCCGGCTCCTGCAAGGAGACCTTCAACTTGTACTACTATGAGACGGACTCTGTCATCGCCACCAAGAAGTCGGCCTTCTGGTCTGAAGCCCCCTACCTCAAAGTTGACACCATAGCTGCGGATGAGAGCTTCTCCCAGGTGGACTTTGGCGGGAGGCTAATGAAGGTAAACACGGAAGTCAGGAGCTTCGGGCCTCTCACTCGGAATGGCTTTTACCTCGCTTTCCAGGACTACGGAGCCTGCATGTCTCTGCTTTCTGTCCGTGTCTTCTTTAAAAAGTGCCCCAGTATTGTGCAAAACTTTGCCGTGTTCCCGGAGACTATGACGGGGGCAGAGAGCACGTCCCTGGTCATCGCGCGAGGCACATGCATCCCCAATGCCGAGGAAGTGGACGTGCCCATCAAGCTCTACTGTAACGGGGATGGGGAGTGGATGGTGCCCATCGGGCGCTGCACCTGCAAGCCCGGCTATGAGCCTGAGAACAGCGTGGCGTGCAAGGGTAAGTCCTCATGGCCCTCGGCGGCCCCTGCAAGGTCTCCTGCCTTCAGCTCTGGGTCCTGCAGGAGCTGAAGGAGGCTGGTGGCTTAATGAGAAAGCCCTGCAGAGCTGCTGTTCCCTGTGCTGGGCCTGGTGAATTTCCCCTTGTATCCAACCGGGCTGTTCATATTCATGCTGGGAGGAAGAGATGGGGAGAATTATAATCAGTGGAAAATCACTTAATAACCACTCAGTGATATTTAGTTTGAGGACACAAACATAATCTTTCCCCTTTCTCTCTCTCTCCCTTTTCTCTCTCCCTTTCTCTCTCTCTCTCACACACACACACACACACACACACACACCCCTACTTCCTACATCTAGCCTTAAGCTCAAGCTCTGGAGCTTGGAGAATTTGGGTTGTCATGGACAATTCACTCAAGGGTAATGGAGAAGTGACTGAATTTAGAAAATATTTTCGTTCACTTCAGTCCAGATCCCACAGCATTCAGCTTGGTACAGAAACCATGTAGCTCATTAACTCAAAGCTTTGTGGCTTGGCTGTCTTTCTCCAGGGGCTCAGTGCCAGCCCTGGAAGGAGCTGAAGTTGTTGAAGGGGGAGAGGGACTATGTCCTGTCTTGTGTTGCCTTTGGCTTCTGAAGATGCAGAGCAATTGGAAACTTTGCAACATGGATGCAGTAGGGGTGCCACTGTGCTCTCATTGGCCCCAGAGACCGTGTATGAGGAGTTGATGTGCTGGCTTGGCTGTAGGCTCGGTCTGTTGTAGGGTCACCAGAGCGTGTGCAGGCCTTACCACCTGGGTATGACCTAAGTCATGTAAGTTGACAACACGGGAGTCCTGGAGTGGCAAAGAGAAGAGGATGGCCTTCCCTGATTGGATTTTGCCAGTGGCCTTGCTTGGGAGGAAGTCAGCCGTGGTCTCCATGTTGACCCTGACATTCGCTGGGGGACCAGGGGCTTTGGAGTTGGGAGTTTCTTTGGGCCCCCTTTCCTCCACTGTGAGCCTCCTGCCTCTGTGCTCTCTGCTCAGAACTGGAGCAGCTGGTGTTTGTTTGGCTCTTGACTTCCCTGCTCCCCGGACACCTACTGGCAAGATGCCTGCATGGGGATACCCATGCCTATGGGCTCTGCTATCCTGTAGGCTCTGGGAATGGCTGAGACCCTGGACACTTCCAGGGATTTCTAAAGCCTGCTGAGAGGCAGGGCTGGGTCTTTGCGTCCTTATTGAATTTCCTGGTTATGGTGCTGCGCAGAGGGACCCGGTGATGAGTCAGTGTAGAGAGGTTTCTAGCTGCCTAGCCTGGTTCCACAGTGTATCTCTTTGATAGGGCAAGGGGCGGGGGTGCTTTGGTACTTGTTGGGGTTCAGAGTGAGGACCAGGGCACCAGACTGAGTTCTTAAATGTGCAGGTGCAAAAGCTGCCAAGCATGCTTATGGCAGCACACAGGCCATTTCTCTGGGCTTCCAAGGGCTACCACACTACACTTGCTGGCCCGGACCCTCATGCTTTTCTCATTATTTCCTGAGCAGAATGGCAGGAGCCAGAGCAAGCATTGATTGGTTCTGATTTAATTGGGACTCCGGGAATAGGCTTTTCCTTTCCGTGGGGTAATTGGAACTTTCTCTTTTTGAGGATGCGGGGGTGGGGGTGGAGTTGACTGCTGTCAGTACCCCATGTCAGTAAAGCTGGAAGGGCTTTCAGCAGCAGAGGTGGGTGACCAATGTTTAAAATCCAGGTGGATTATTTGCCTTCTCTGGACCCAGCTGTGACCTTGTCCTGGGCTTCGGTGGGCATCCCTGATATCTGAAAAGTGAGGGGAATGGATGCCTGGGGCAGCTGAGTTTGGTGAGTACAGGTTCAGGAGGCCTTGCGGTTCCTGTGATTCGGTGATCCAGGGGAGAGGGCCGGGGGGCTGCTGTTTCCCCTCTTTGTCAAGAACATAAAGATGTATCTCCTGCACTCTGCTGTCTGTCTGAACTGGACCACATGGCCCAGGGCCCACAGAGTTCTGCCTTGGGGGACCCCATTGCATGCAAGACCATCTTGGTGGGTGTGGGCACAAGTGACTGGTCCCCATGGTGAGTCTTCTAAGGAGGGTCACTGTTTGGAATATTATGCCATGCTGTAGGGTGGGCATGATGCCCCATTCACCATAGTAGCCCTGGGGTGAACTTCTCAGTGCATGCAGTGAGAATGGCAGATGGCAGGAAGTTTGTGGGCGAGAAATGGAGACCCTCCAGTAGCCACTGCTGCCCAGCACAGCCCTGAGAATTCACGTTCCCGGGCGAGGCAGGGTGAACCTGGCTGCTGTCGTTCATGCTGGCTTGTTGCTCCACTCTCTTTTCTTCTCTGGACTTTGCCGATGTCTGTTCTGTAGGCAGGTGGGAGGAGGAGCCTGCCTGCCTCCGGTTACCTGCCCTTTTCCGGAAGGATGGTGTCTCAGGCAGGGCGGGAGCCTGGCTTCCAGGGCTTTCCGCTTGTCTCTGCTGTCAAAACCGTGATGGCCGGCCAGCAGCTCAGTGGTGCAGAGGCACCTGGAGACCAATTAGGCAGCCCAGCTGGGCAGGAGAGTCATCCTGGCCTAGAGCCATTCCTGCTGTGAGAAGGGAGGCTGGGGAGAAGGGGAGCTGGGAGGCGAGGAGGGAGAAAACCATGGGCAGAACCTGTGCATTAGGAGGTGCAGCGAGTGGCTGGCGTGCTTTCTGAAGGGCTGTTGGGCTTAAAGGCCACCTTCCGGCTCTGCACACACACTGGAGCCATTAGGAAGAGGCATGCTGACGGCCTTGCTGCCTTGGCCAGGTACTCTCAAGGCATCAGCCGTAGGTCCCTCTGAGAGGATTCCTTGCAAGAAAAGGCTCACAAACCCCAGCTGCAAGATCTGCATTCATAGTATCATGCATTTGTGAAAAATCCTAAATTTGTCTCCCCTTGTGCCCTTCCCTGCTCAGGTGGGTGGCTATGGCAGCTCTCTCCAGGAGGGCTCATGGAACCTGTAGAGGCCGAGGCTGGGCTCTCAGCAACCTCTCTGTGTGCTGCAAAGTGGTAAATGTTGTACCAGCTGAGAGTAGACTGGGCGTGAGGGAACAACATTGGCGAGGGAGAAGCCAGGCAAGGTGTTCTCTTTGCCCAGCTGTTTGAGACATGGTGCAGCTTGCCAAACAGATGCCTCTGGCTGCCGTGGACAGTGAGCCCCTAGCTGGCACACAGTGCCCCTGTAGGACTTTCTTGCTCTTGAGTATCCCCTGAGGGCCTGGCTTCTCCACCTGGTCACAGTTCCTGCAGTTTCCAGGAGCCTCACTCACCTACCTCTGCAGCCACGGTGGGGACAATGGCAATGACAATGCTGTAACTGATTCTTCTCTACTCCTGTCCTTGACCCTGACCCTGCACCACTATGGATAGCACTGCTGACTCATGTTGTGCAGAGCATCACTGCCTTGAATAGTGGCTCTGTCTTTGTGAAGGCTGGACAGTTAGACGTGGTGTTGCACTCCTGCTGGGGGAATCCAGGGAAGGTTCTAGGCAGGGGAGGAGGGACAGGGAGCTTAAGGAAGACTGTGGGGGGATGCAGGGAAAGACAGTGCATCATCCGCTGGCTTACTCAGAACACCAAGGGTGCCACTGATGACCACATGGTGTGGTCAAACCTACAGGTCTCCTGTTGTCGCTGCTTGGGCCAAGGATGCAAGTCCTGTAACTGGGGAGCCATGTGGCATTGTCACAGCTTTCGCAGTACTGGCTGAAGGCCGGTTATCGGCACATCTGCTTCCCTGTCTGGTATCTGTCCGGCTGCCTGCCCATGTGGGCCCAAGCCCCTGAGCTAGGCCTGGCAGCTCCACAGTGCTGTCCTGGACACTTCCCTGCCATCTCCCAGCAGACCGTCTCTTCCTCTGGAGCTGCTTCTTCACTCCTCTCTCCCCTCTCCAAGTAGAGTTTTTTTTTTTTTTTTCTTGGTAATTTCCTACCTACACGTAAATTCCTTCACGCCTGGAAACTCAAGGGACGTTTTGAACCTTTCAGCGGTTTCAGTGCCTTTGTCAACTTGAGCAGCTGAGATGAGCCATTTTATAAGCCTGGGGGAGTTGGGACGAAAAATCTGCGGATTCTAAGGTGGAGAAAAATGCATCTAATTTACCTTCTCTTGGAAACAGGCCTATTCCAGGGTCTATTTCCATCTCCCAGAGGGTTGCAGGTCCCAGCCCAGGGCTCATCTCTTCTTGAAATGTTGAAAGGGAAAGCGAAGGCCAGTAGCTCATGGGAGAATGTGTGTGTGTGTACACGTGTGTGCGCATACGCTCACATGCATGTATATGCTGCCCTTCAGCGATTGGCTGGCGAGTAAGAGGAAAGCCACAGCCCTCCCCTGAAGCCCCAGGGAGACCAGCTCTGCTGAGGGCCAAGGGAAGCCAGGGTCATTAACACTGCAGCCCTGTAAGATGAGCTTCATAATAAGATTTCCCAACAGGCTACTTCATCTAGAAACCTCCCGGGTCTCCTCTGCTTCCTGTGGTGGCCCGGCCCAGTGCCCTCCAGAGAGGAATCAGATGTAATTGGCTGAGTGTAATGGGCTGTGACGCCGACATGAGCAACACCAAGCTAAGCTAGAGGGATGCTCGACCACAGCATGGGCGCCAGCGAGCCATGCTCTGGGAGTGGCAGGGGTTCCAAATCTGACTGTGCTTGCTGCAGTCCCTCTTGCCTCGGAAAAACTCCCGTTCCACCATTGTTGACAAAGCCCTTGCAACTGCCCTGGGTCAGCACTAGGGACCCTGAGTATGGTGGGGCAACGTTCCATGTGTATGAGCTGCCCAGGTTTGCCTTGACAGTCTCCCATGATTTGGTAAAGCTGTGTTGTTAAGAGAGATGGCTGAGGCCATGTATGGGAAGAACCACAAGGCTAGGGGTCCAGCGGTGGCCCCAGTATCACTGTGTACTTCACCAAGACCTCTGGTGAGTGGAGGGGAAGGGTCCATTCAGAACATCCCCACCTCCAGCGTGC